GTTTAACATCCCACCACATTTTGTTGTGGTGGGATGTTAAACAGGTTAAACCGCAGTTGGAAAGAACCTGGTGCTGCCCCAGTTTTCTCATTCTGATGTTTGGGCAGAGAGTTAACATTTAATCTTGTTAAAAGCAACAGGTTTTAACAAGATTAACTATAGATCCAAATCTGTAATTTAAAACAATCAGATGAACAGCTTCTAACCAAATTGAAACTTTAAATGTTTTTAAAAATAAAAAATAAAAACAGTTTCTTCCTCCAGATGAGGAAATGGTTTATTTGAATCTTTACTGGATTAGAGTCTAGATGAATGCACCTGACCAGCACCTAAAGATGTTAGACACTCTCTGCCACTGTGCTTTATATTTTATTACTGGCTTCAGAAGCTGAATACACCACTGTTTCCCGTTTCCTGTAAATAAGTGTGCATCTCTGTATGCCCTCAGACTTTCCATGGGCTGTTTTGTTTCAATATATAAATCTCAAAGAGACATTTAGCTGAATAAATAAAGGATAAAATAAACTGGTGTGTATATTTATTAAATACTTGGAAACTATTTCATGGGCTCACACTCGAAAGTCTTTGTCTGGGTTTAAATCTGAGCTCACCTCTTCCAGGGCAGGAGGCTGTGGCTTGGCGAGGCTGGCAGCTGCTGGCAGAGAGGTGGGGGCGGGAGCAGATGGCTTGGCCGTCGCCTCCTTTTTTCTCTCATTCCTCGGACTGTCGAGAGAGAGCTCCACCGTGGCCTCTGCTAGAGGGGAAACGTGCAGAAAGATATCCATTATTTCCCTAGTACAGTGGAGCTGCTTTTACCACAGTTACCAAAGTCTACCTTTAAGTATTTACAGAGATTCTGAGTTCTGTTCCATGTGTGGTGATCTGGAGCACAAACTGGAGCTGCTTCTGTCATGCCTCAACAGGACCTCTGTGTTGGTTTCTTAATCACTTATTTACACCAGACTGAAACTTGTGTTTGCCATCTCAGGTGTCTGACACAAATATACACCGAGGGTTATGTTAAACCTGTGGATTTAACTGAACTTTGCATTCAGATGGTCCCATGTTCTTAATTGAGGTGTCCTCATCCTGGCTTTGGTGTCAGCCATGTGGTAACAGCATGATGCACAGAAAATCACGATAGCTGCTTCTAGTTAAACATTGCTGTACTTGACTTTTAAGAGGGCTACTACTCAAAGGTTTTTTTATAAGTAATCTGAGCCACTCTCCCATTACCGGCACAGCCCAGTACAAAGTTTCAAACTCAATGCTGGCAAAACAGTTATTTACAATGAAGCAAACGTTACTTTCCATGCTGTTGTTTCAACTTTAGGAGGCGTTCATCAACATTTTTCCAGCCTAGAGCTCATTTTATCTTCTATACAGATGTGATTATGCACAAACCTCTATATGAACTTCACTGAACCTGTCTTGAATCATGACTTTAGTATAAAGACCAACTCTAGGCTTAAAACTTTGGTAACATAAACCGAATGAGAATAAAAAATAGAATAAAATAAGGTGGACCCACCAGCAAATATATCACCGTCCTCCTCAGAGTGGACTCCATTGGTCTTGGGGTTGACGGTGCTGGTGACGCTGGGTGTGGAGGCAGCTGCCTGACTGAAGATATCAGCTGGCTTACTGTCTTGCAGCGGTCCCCCAGCAGTAACTTTGGTTGTGACAGATTTCTCCTTCAGCTCTTTAGGGACGGGTTTCTTTGAGATGGCACCCAGCGGCTCGCCAAACACATCCTCGTCAGGTTCACCGAAGAGGCTTTTCTGCGGCTGCTTGGCAGGCTTGGTCTGCAGCGGTTCTGCAAAAATATCACTCCCTTCCTCGTCGTCAAAGAGATCAACGTTTGCGCTGCTGGGTTTTTTGGCTTCAGCAGCTGGTGGAGCATCGCTAAAGAGGGCGACCAAAGGGTCAGCAATTTTGCTAGTAACAGGCTGTGAGTCACCACTGAGGTCGATAACTGGAGCGGTGGACGTTTGTTTTGCTTCCTGCTGACTGAGTGGATCTATAACGCCAGCAGTTACTTCACTTCTATCAATTGTTGCTTCAACAGTAACATCTGCCTTTACTACTTCCCCTCTCTGAGCTCCAGTTTCGCTTCCCAATATGTCAACGAAATCATCGGATTTTGTTGCAGCTGCAGCTACAACGCTAACATTGTTTGTCAGGTCAAAAAAATCATCTGAGGGTTCACTCGCTGGCTTGTTTCCTGTTTGGCTGCTCATTGGCTCGATTAAAGGATCATTCATGATGTCACTGGGAGGCTTCATTGAAACATCACTGGTCGGTGTGGTGTCCATTTCGGTCACTGGTGATGTGCTCTGAAGGCCAAAAAGGGGATACTTAATGTCAACTGCTGTCATGTCACGTGTGTGTAGACAACAGACAATTCTTAAAGTAATCCAAGACTCATGCAACAAGTTGATCAAAGTTTCAAATTTTAAAGACCTTTGGGGCTTTTTTTTTTCTTTTCTTTGATCTCAACAGCTTCACATTACACAATCTGGTCTCTAGGTAGCCAAATTGGATATTGGGTAACATCTAAACATCCAATGTCCATCCCAGCTACTGGGTGTGTCACTGACAGCAGAAACAATGTTTTCAAAATAAAAAAAACAAGTACTTTGTCACTGTAAAAAGCTGCAGAGAACATTTTATGATGCTTGAGAAACAGATTTAACTGATATGTTTTCGCCAAGAACACAAAGCAAATCTCCTGAGAAACCATTTCATCAGATAAGCCTTTACATTAGGGTTAGACTAATGTAACAGTCTAATGTAACAGCGATTGCAGTGTTTAGGTTTTTGTTTACAGGGTAGTAAACAAAATGACTTAATGAACTTAAATGACTTGCTTCAAAGGATGCTGATTCAGAAGGTGAAAACAACTCTTGGATCCGTTACTCTGTGACCTTGGCTGTATTAAAGACAACTTTTTCTGATGACTTAATGGGCTTGATGGTTTCAGGTCATACTGACTAAAACATGCAGGATATTTTTGTAAGTAATGGTCATCAATGGAGTCAAAAAGGCTATGCCCATTTGCTATCGATGTGTCAATAGCAAATGACTGTGTAGTTTCTTTCATTTTAAAGTCAGATGAACACCTGGTTCATCAAATCCAATTTAGGAACGCGATGAACTATGCTTATTGCCAAGAAAGAAAATTCTCAGCTCAAGGTTTTATAATAGAGTTTTGCTAAATAATGAATGTTGTCGTATTGGCTGTTTCCATCTTTTATATACACAGTCTATAATATCTGCATACCTATACAGTTTAAGAAATAAGCCTGTCAAGCAAGAATGCTAGCATTTATCTGATAACCTACCACTCCACATTATTATTATTATTATTATTATTATTATTATGTGACATACAGGGAAACTGCCAGTATGACATTTTTTCAGTACTAGTGGAAAATTAATGTACAATGACTAATAACTGTATTTAGTGGTCCCAAAAATATTTCCATTTTATCTGTATATCTGTCGCCCCTTATTAAAAATTAAAAATGTGAATTATACTCTTTAGACAAAAAATGCTTAAAAAAATAGTAATACATCCCCGAAACTTCTTTTTATATGAAGTCAAGTCACTCTGGCTGCTGATACATTTCCAAACATCATTTCAGGCATGAGCTCTGACACCTAAAACATCCATAAAATGCTGACTTAGGTTTTCCGTGCAGCAGCGAGTTCAGTGTTGGGAGAAAAAAAAATCGCAGACAGCAACTTTCTCATGTATCCTCTGAACTTTGACTGTAGGAAAACATCCGGGTTCTGACCATGTGACCACACCACGCTCACATGACAGGAGGCTGCCCGAGCCAGCGTACAATCCTTATTTTATGGGGAGAAATGCGTAAATAAAATGGGGAAGCTGACTTAACCCACTAATAAGCATCGTGAAATAACACTATCACCTCCTTACTGTGTCAGCTCTCACAGAAACCACACACAGACCTCACTGTCTGCAGATTTCACCTCACCTACGCATGGCGTGAAAAGTCTGCACGTCAAAAAAAAAAATGCTGAGGACACCTTCAGATTTAAAAGTTAGCTCGAGAAAGTTTTAGAAGATGAAAAGAGGTCACACATTCCATGCACCAAAACAGGAAGTACGGCGTTACCTGGTTTGGTTAACTAAATCACTGCGAGGGAGAACTTCAAAGAGCAACTTTCAGGGTGAAATCAATACCAGCGAGGGCGTTTGCAGAACTCCTAAAGCTCGTAGGCAGGTAGTAAGAAGTTTCTACAACAAATGCTTCGAAACATTAGGAAATACTAAGAGTTTTGGAGATGACAATATCTTATGTCAACATTGTTTGTTATTTTTCCCCCTGTGCAACTGCTTAACGTTAACGGCCAACATCTCCTAAAACTTTTGCCTCATTAGCTTTCCTAGCTAACTCTGCATTAAGTTAACGAGTTATCCAGACCTGACCGCTAACAGCTAGGTCGACTCCACCAGTACATACCGTACTCCCGAAGAGGTCCTCGTCTTCATCACTGTCGCGGCCTCGGACTTCTTCAGCGTCCAGCACATCTTGGTCCTCGGAGTCCGGGAATGGGGGAGGACTGCGCTCCGAGCTGGTCGCCATCTTCACTCTCTTTGAAAACACAAGGGGAGGTAACGTCAACTGCTCCCCTCTGCTCTCTGTCACACAGACGTGTCTCCTTCGGTTAGCAGCTAACGTTACCTTCGCCGTTTCTCACTGTGGTTTACCTCGGCCGGACGGGGGTGTACACCTAAACTGGGCTGACTAGTGGAGAACAGACACTGCTCAGGACGTGCAAACCCGCCGCTGTCTTTTCACTTCCTGGTCCTACTCCTCCTACTTCTTATCAGGTTAGCTTCAATGTTAGCTGTAGCCTGTAGACTTGGCAGTCATAGGATCGGACACCTCGCTCGGAGATTTGACGGATCTGGAGAGAAGTTAGCTAATCTACCCAGATCTTAAGTGCCCAGATTAGAGACACCCGACTTCTCTGGAGATGTCCCGTCATAAGCATGCCGGAGATCCCGAGGCACGCCAGCCGCTTCTCACGGGACATCGCCTGGACGCAAGGGAGCTGGACTCGGATGAAGGT